ATGCGTGCTTGCTTCCCCCCAGGTCTGCCTGAAGGTGGGAACTGTGTAAATCTATCCTCCCTTGCTCCCTGGGTAGCAAATAGAAGACCTGGCCCAGGTCTGGGGTGACTTCAAGATCCTTCAAGGGATGATCCCAGACACAAAGTTGGACCAACAGGATCACCAGGCTTGCAGGGGAGCTCTTAGACTATTCTCTACCAAGAAACGGCCGAAGGCCTTGGGTCAGTCTGCTCCCTTTCTGAGCCTCAGACTCCTCGTCTGTGAAGTGGGAAGGTATGAAGTAACCAGACGACCCAAAGGTGCTGCGTGCTTGTTTGGTTCGAAACACCTGAGGCCTTGCTGGGGTGGGGCACGACTGAGGACCTGCCCTCTTATCTTGGGGTGTGGTGGCCTCTGAGAATGTGGGCTCCAGAGAATAGTGAGGCCCATCCCCGTCCCTCCCTTGTACCTCAGGAATGGTGCCATCTCTCTGAGGGCCCCTGCCCCTGCTCCCCGTTCTCTGCAGGGTCTGGGGGAGGAAGGAGTGGGGGGCCTCAGCCTTCGGCCTGAAGAAGTGTATGTCTTCCAGTCCACGGGGGGCAGTGGGCTCTGGGAGCGGCTGATGGTCATCGTAGGCTGGGGCTGCAAGGGTCCGTCTTGCACCCTCACTTCATGCTGCACCGGAGGGGCTGCGGGCTTCAGGAAGCTGCCTGGTTTGTGCGCTACCCACATAGCCCCCGAGAAAGGAAAGGTTCAGTTCCTGCCAGTGGGACCCTTTGTTTCCCTCCCCAGATGTCCCATGCCCCACATCCCACATTAAGTACAGTGGCCCTACAATGACAACACCAGTTTCCCTTTATCAGGGGCGTAGGGGACACGTCTGGCCAGAGGGCCCAGCCAGGGGAATTGTTTAAAGCTGCATTTATATTTTAGGTCCACAACTTTCCATATACTTATTTGGGGTGGTTTGAGGTGCTGATGGAGGTGATGGAAAGACTAAACAAGCCCTGATTGGGGCCATCACTCAGCCAGACCCAAGCTCTGCTCAGATGCACCCTGACCAAATGCTGATTTTGAGAGTATTCCGCACCACCTTGTGGCTATAATCAGTACTGCACTGTGACCGCCCATCTCTGTCTTGCTCCGTCTGCCCAGCACCCTTCCCAACTTTTGCCCCTGGGAATCACACCTATCTCCCCCCTCTACTTCCAACCTGCTGACCCGGAGCTCTCCAACCAGCACCACAGGGAGGGGACTCTCAGGGGACTCACAGAGGGACGTGCACCGGCAGGGATCATGCTTGTCCAGATAGTGGCCGAGCGTGTCCCAGCCGCCCCCCACACGCACCATCACGTGACTCCGGAGGATCTGAGGGGGCAAGGGTTAAGTTGAGAACAGGGCAGAGGGTGTGTCCTCTTCCTGCACCGACTTGCAATCTTGCAGCATGCACTTAGGGAGACTCCCGTTCATGTGCTCATGCACACGCAGATATGCCCTTATACACACTAGTGTGCAACCCGAGTCTCCTCCGTGACAGGCACCAGGTAACACATATTGAGGGTAGGGGCCCGGGCTGTTGAACAGGGAGCTGCTCCTCAACTGGGCAAGGGATCTCACCGGCCCGGGAGCACTCCCTCCTCTGCCCTCGCTGGAGGAGTTTGCACGTGCCAGTATCTGAAATGGGGCCCTGTGATCTCTGGCTTGGCCTCTGCGGTGTTTACGGTGTTTACGAAAGAGCCGGTGGGAGTCTCAGCCCCATTCTACTCTGGGGCAGGTCATGTAGTCTCGCTGGGCTTTTATTTTTCTTCATCAAAAAGTGGGGTCACCATTCTTTGCCCCTCCTTATTTTCCAGGGTTATTTCCTTAGAGGATGGCTCTGTTCTCAGGTGTGGTGGGCATCCAGGGAAAGACTTGGTCAAGTCCCTAGCTGCTGGCCACACCCCTGGCAAGAGACCATTTCTGGCAAGGTACAGCGGAGTATTGGGGTGAGGGAGAGGGAGAGACGCTGCAGGCCTATACAACTCTCCCTGCAGAATTGGCAGAGCCAGACATGTGACTATGGGGTGCACAGGGCTGCAGCCATATGCTGAACAGAAACTCACGGGTCAGAGGCCGCTTCTCTGAGCCTGACAGTGGAGTGGAACGGAATGGAAAGGACCCTCCTCCACTCTTCTCCATACCCCACTTCTGCTTGGGATGCCCTCTAGGCTAAGCTAAGGTGAGGTGATAGAGGCAGTGGTTTGGCTGCCCAGATGGGAAGAAGGGATAGGCTTGCCAACCCAGCCCGGAATCACCTGGAGTTCTCTGAGAGGAGACTGCCAAGGCCTGATGGCTCGGAGTGAATGATGGCTCCTGTCCCTGACCTCAGGCCTGGACAATGTCCTATAGAAGGAAACCCTATTTTGCTGGATCCAACTTACCCGGATGAAGATGAGGGTGCTGGAGTCCCCCACTCGGTACTTCCCCTCTGACACCTTGACCATGGAGAACTGCACGGGGCACCTGCAGTGGCTCACAAGGCTCTGCACCTATGGGTGGTGGACAGTGAACTCAGCCCTCCCCCTGCCCAGGTGCCCCATCCCTGCCCCATGCTAAATGGGTCCAGCTAAATGAGGAGCCTGTTGTCCCCAGAGCCGCCCCCAAAGTTTCCACTGAGCCTAGGGCTGGGGAGTAGAGAAGAGTTTAAATGACCCAGCAATAACAGGGCTGGAGCAGTCACTTACGGTCCAGTGCCCTGAGGCCATAGAGTGTGTTGGCTAAGCAGGTCAGTGTGGGGCCTGCCAGAATCCTACACCCACTGTACCACAGACCTTAGTTACAACGCTCCATGAGTTCCATTCCCCAGGACAGACATGGGCTTAATCATAAGCAGCCAGCTACCACCTGGCACTTCCTGCCAGCTGCTCCTTTAATACTCTCTGCAGTCACAGAAGGTAAGTGCAGTTCTGTCCCCATGGTACGGATAAGGGGACCCAGGCACAGAGAGGTTAAACAAGTTCCCCGAAGTCGAAGTCGAAGTCGCACAGCTGCAAATACTTGGACAAAGGTGTCAGGGATGCCTGTTTGTTTGTTTGCCATAGGGCACATGCACACATCAGAAGAGAGACAGTAGAAAGGAAAGTGAGAAATCACCCCCTGGGGTGATGGTCGGCCTCAATCCCTTCTCCAGCAACCTCTTCTCCTCCATTCTCCTCTGGGGATTTTGAGCATGCACACACATGCCTGGCAGGATTTATCAAGCTGCCTATCTGGGGAAAAGACTGTGGTTGACCACATGGAGTCTAGCACCTTAACCACCAAGCTACCTGAGGCTTGTGTCTTAAAAAGGCCCAGCAGGGAGCCGGCAGGTGGCATGGTGGAGAAAGTGCTGGACTCCCACATGGCTGACTACAGTTTGAGTCCTGGACCTGATGGCTTGCTTTCTCACTTTCCCTTTCTCTCTTTGTGTTTCTTTCTCTGGTCAAATTTTAAAAATAATAACATATAAAATGAAATAATTCTTTAAGGAAAAAAAAGGCCAGCAGGTGGCACAGTGGTTTAAGGCATTGGACCACCAACGATCAACTGCAGTTTGATCCCTGGACCAGTGATTGGCTGGCTTTCTCTCTCTCTCTCTGTCACTCTGGTGAGCACATGTGCCCTATAGTAAAATTTTTTAAAAGAATGATTTTATTTAACTTTATTATTATTTTTAAAATATCTCCAGAGAGAGAGAGACAGAAAGAGAGGAGAGACACAATGAGAAAGCAAGCCTCCAGGTCCACGACTGGGACCACAGCCAGCCATGTGGGAGTCCAGCGCCCTTAACCACCACGCCACCTGCCGGCTCCTCTAGTAAATTTTAAATGTATAATAATAATAAATAGAATTAAATCATTTTAAACAAAACCGTTCCTCCCGGCAGTTAACTGAGAGGTGTAGAGAGCTTGGTTGGTAATAAAAGCTTAACAAGCAGCTCAGCCATTACTACTGGTCGTTCAAGGTTGAGGCTCAGAGTGCACAGACTTGCGCAAAGCCACAGTAAGTGTCAGGTGGAGACCGGAGCTGAAGGAGGGAGGAGGCTGCGGGGCGGGGCCAACAAAGGGGCTGAGTGCAGAGCCGCTCACCATCTGGTCCAGGTTGCGGAAGTGGCAGGGCCGGCGCGTGGGGGGCACGGGCGGCGGGGGTTCCGGCCGGGGCAGGGCAAGCTCTTGCCGCAGCTCCTCGTCTATCTCTTCCTCCAGCTGCACGAGGGTGGGCGCCGCCACGCCGAAGCGCCAGGCCCGGCGGCCCAGCTCCAGCAAGCACAGCACCACGTTCTTCACGTTCTTGCGCAGCACCAAGTCCTCGGTCTCGAACATCAGCACTTCTGGGGGGAGTGGGGGATTGCGGGGTTGGTTTGGGAGTGGAAGGCAGTAAACCCTTTGCTGACCTCCGGAACCCTGGGGCTATTTCAGGAGGGGAGTGGCAAACTGGAAAGGTGGTTTGGGGCTCAGAATCTTGGGGTCCTGTCTGGGCAGAGTTGTTTAGATGCTAGGGACAGGCAAAGAGGCCCATCTCACCGAAGGACTGGGGTGCAAAGAGACACAGCAAAGACGATGACCCTGGAGCCCGGCTGAAGGCCGTGGGGAGGGAAGGGTTAACTCTACTTTCCCCTCTCCCCACTCAGATCCTGGATGGTCCAGGAGCAGACTGAGGTGTTCAGCTTCCCACCCATGCCTCTCTCTTCCATTCTTCACCTGGCATCTCCAACTCCACCCTGGCCCAGGTACACCAGGCAAGGTTGCAGACTTCAGAGCCAACTCCTGAGGTTGGAGGTTGGAGTCTGGAGTCCGGACTCTCCCACCCACTCTCTGTGACCTTGGGCTAGTTCCAGAGCCTCAGTTTCCTCTTCTGTAAAGTGGGGATGTAGACTGTTTCACGGGGTTGATGTGAAGATTGGCAAATAATTAAGCATTTGCCAACGAAAGCTCCCGGGAAGTGCTCCCTAAAGCACTAGCTTTTATCATTGCCTCGTCCCACCAGCTGGTAAACCCAGCCTGCCCTTTCTCACTCCACTGCCTTTGGCCTGAAGCATGGCACAACAGCCATCCTGATCCTGTTCCCGGATCCATGGCCAAAGAGATGAGAGACCCTGACACGTCACTCCCCTGAGTCCTGCAAGCCCCAGCGTGACCTGTCTCCTCCCTAACGTCCCCGCCTGCCTTCTCCCGAGTTTTCTCCCCACTCTGACCTGGTGCTGTTGCCACCCTCGGTTTCTCTCAGTCATCCAAACACAGCTTTTCTGTGCCTCTGCCCCGGTCTAGAATCACATGCCTCCAGGCTTCTATAACATTCATTTCTCAAGGTGGAGCCCAAGTCTCCTTTCTCTCCTGGGGTTCGTGGCCTCACTTCCATTTCAGCAGGTGGCTAGTTCATCCTCTGGCTCACCAGTGTGTATGAAGGGATTCAAAGAGCTTGTAGGAAAATGGAATGAAAGTACAAGTTTTGGGGGGCCAGTAGGTGGAGGTTAAGACACCGGACCCCACATAGCCAGCTATGTGATTCACGTCCCGGACCCCCAGCTTGAAAATCATGCCGAGCACATGTGTGTGCATGCCCCAAATCCCAAGAGGAGAATGGAGGAGAAGGGGTTGTTGTGTGGCCATCCCCCAGGGGTGGAGAGTGATTTTCACTCCCCTCCCCCTCACCACCTCTGGTGAGTGCATGTGTGCCATAGCAAAAACTTTTTTAAAAATTACAAGTTTAGGGACCAGCAGTTAGCGTAATGGCTATGTCACTGGTCTTCCACGTAGTCGTCGACCGTGGTTTGTGTCCCGGACCCGGTGGCTTAAAACTCACGCTGGGCGCATGTGCGTGCGTGTCTAAGATCCCGAGAGGAGAATGGAGGAGAAGGGATTGTGGCGTGGCCATCACCCCTGGGGGTGATTTCTTGCTTTCTGTCTCTCTCTGTTTGTCTGGCGAGCGCACGTGTCCTATAGCAAAAAAAAAAAAAACCCTCTCAAAAAAATTACAAGTTTATTTTGGCAGGAGCAAAAAATTTTTTTGAAATCCATGAATGGCTTTTCCATAATACGCATTTTCCATGAACTTTTCAAAGACTGCCTCATATACTTCTAGCTGTGCATTCATCGCTGGGGCCGTAATTTACACACTGACTCATCCATCTGTCTCACTAGACCGTGAATTCCTCAGACACTGAGTCTCATCCCTCTCAATCCTTGGTGCCCAGCACAATGCTCAACACAAAAGAGGTGCTCGATATGTTTGTTGAGTGAATTGTCAATAAACATGTATCGATCATCCACACAGGTATTTGTGGAGCATTTACTGTGAGATGGGGAAACTGAGGCATGAAAAGAAATGAGCTGGTCTGAGGCAAGTCTAGAAGGCCCGGATCTAGCATGGACCTCAAAGCGTGAATGGATGCCTACAAGGGAAGGGTCTGGGATAGAACAGGGTCCTCATGGTTACCTTGGATGCCCATCTCGTGGCGACACCACTGGATGAAGTTGGAGACATTGTCCCTGGCCTGGAAAGTACCCGGCTGAGCAGCCCCATTGCAGAAAACTCCAGCCCGAGGCACAAGAATCCTTTGGGCTTGAGCAGGTGCCTCAGCCAGGAAGGCCAGGGCAGCCTTGGTGACAGCGTTGGCGTGCCGGCACAGCACCAGGCCCGTCTCCAGCACCTGCAGGAAGTTGTCTGCATCAATGTCCAGCCCGTAGAGATCTCGAAGCCACTCTGCCAGGTCTTCCTTCATGGCCTCCAGGTACTGCATGCTGGACTTGAAGGGCCGGATGCTGCGCACAGGAGGCCCCAGGGACTTAGGCCTCCTGTGTCCCCTGGGCTGGGACATGGCTGACACCCGCTCTCTCCCACTGCTGCCTCTTTGCTCCCTCCACCTGCCTGGTCTTGGCCTGTTCTTCCTGATCCAGGAGTTCCCTTTCTACTCTCCCAGAGCCCAAGACTCCAACTTCAGTCTCTAGGCCCACCCAGGCCTCTACCCCGCCACATTCCTTAGTCCCTGCCAGTTCCCTGCTTGGCGGCCCTGCAGCAACCTCACTCTCTGACTCCCCAGTCCACTCAGAGTTCACCTCCCAGGATGAGTGGGGGTGAGGACGCTCCTCTCCTCTATTTCCTGGGGATGGACAGGTCAAGCTGCTGCCTCCCACCCTCCACCAGCTGGCCTGCCTGCCGGCCTGCCTGCCTGCCTGCCTGCCTGCGCTGGGCCGCTGGGCCGGCAGGCTGTCAGCCTCTGCTTTCCTCTCCTCTCCTTGGAGACAGAGGCTGCTACAAACACTCCTTGTTAACCCTTCCTGGCAGGGCACTGCCTTGCAGAGCCAGCCCTGGAGCGAAGGTGGGGAGGCTGGGCTGGCTTCTCTCATGGGGCTGCCTAGAGTAGAGGGCTTCTGGGGAGTGGGGCAGGGGCAGGAGTGGGGTGCCATGCCCCTTGCTGTTCAGAATGCTGGAGGATAGGGATGAAAGGAACACCACAGAAGAGTCCAACAGCATGAGGTTAGCTCCGAGCCCCTGTGTGACCGTCACGAGCTACCTATTCTCTCTGTGCCTGTGTCTCAGCTGTAGAATGGGAATATTGCCAACCCCTCTGAGCTGTCACAAGGGATAAAAGAATGTGCGTGAGAGTAACAGACCATTGGAAAGCATACCCACACGTCTGGGTGGGCCCAGCTCCCGGTGATTCTCACAGCTGCCCTTTCAGTGTACCATGATCCCCACTTCCTCTGGACACCCTGCTCCGTCACCTCTAACCGTGTGGTTCTTCAAGAGCAAGCTGTGATCAGAGTACCTCACCCCATGCCACACCGATGCATTCATTTTGCAATGTTTTCTGAGCACCTACTATGTGCTTGAGGATGTAGCAGTAAACAAACCAGGTCCCTGACCTCATGGAGGCTACTTACACAATACTGAGGGGTGGGTGAAAGATATGCAAATAAATCTATAGCAGGTCAGATGGTGATAAATTTCAGGGAGAAAATAAAGGAGTGAAAGAGACCAGTATGTGTGTGGACTTTTGCCTGAGGGGGTCAGAGAAGGCCTCGCTCACGTGAGCCCTGCAGGCATCTGGAGAGGAGTGCTGGCCAGAGGTGGGAGCTGCATGACATATCCCAAGATCTGCAGAGAGAAACAGTCTGAGGCAGACAGGATACGGGCTCCCAGGTCCTGCAGAGCCTTCGAGGTGATGCTAAAGACTTGGCTTTTGGGAACCAGCAGTTACCGTAATGGCTATGTCGCTGGACTCCCACGTAGTCAACCGTGGTTCGCGTCCCGGACCCAGTGGCTTAAAACTCATGCCTGGCGCGTGTGCATGCGTGCCCAAGATCCCGAGAGGAGAATGGAGGAGAAGGGATTGCAGCGTGACCATCCCCCCTGGGGAGTGATTTCTTGCTTTCTGTCTCTCTGTCTCTCTCTGTCTGTCTGGCGAGCGTACGCGCCCTACAGTGAAAATCTCTCAAAAAAAAAAAAAAAAAAGACTTGGCTTTTTTCTCTGAGTAAATGAAAAAGGCACTGGAGTGTGTGGGGCAGAGAAAGGACACGCTCTGATTCCAGCTGCTGTGTGGGGACTCCAGGGGAGCAGGTGGGTTACTGCAGTCAGCCAAGGCAGAGCAGCGGTGGTTTAAACCAGGTGGTGCCGACAGAGGTGATGATAAGAGGCCACATTCTCTTACAACTCTTGAAGAGTTCCTGGGATTGGTCCAGACACGGTTTCTCAGCTCTGGCACTTTGGATTTTTAAGGCCAGGTAATTGTTCATTGTGGAAGGGCACTCCCACCCCACTATAACAACCAAACATGTCTCTAGACATTGCTGAGTGTCGTGTGTGTGTGTGTGTGTGTGTGTGTGTGTGTGTGGTGGTGGTGGTGGGGCATCCTGTTTTTCCCCACCCACTGAGAGCCACCCATCTAGGAGGTGAGCATGTGACTCAAGCTAGTCCAAACAGAGCCCCTCACTAGGCTTTTTGAATTGGGGCTCTAGGGGCAGGTACCTTTCCCAATCAGAAGCTTAGGATTTTAGGGATGTGATTCTGGAGCCTTGCACCATTACATGGAGAAAAGCCCTGTCTGCAGCAGGCAGGAAGAAGCTGCACACGAACAGCAGAGCTGGGAGGGGCAAGGACCCCGAGGATGCCGGAACCCTTGGTTCTGCTGTCTTCAGGCCAGCCATGTTAGGGGCAGGCCAGGCTGTTACCTATAACCACAGAACCCCCAACACAGTGACTCACATGAGAGGAAAATTTCTTTTTTTCTCTCCAAGGTAGAAAAAGTAATCCAAAGTAGGCTGGAGGCTCTGCCCATGAGGCACTCCAGGGATCTGGGTTCTTTCTGTCCTCTTGCTCCCTTAGGCTATTGTCAGTGCTGGCTTCCCAGAACTTTGTGCTCTGGCAGTTTGCAGGAGTGGCGAACAGAGAAAGAGACTCAACCAGCTTCCTTTTTTTTTTTTTTGCTTTAGGGTGTGAGTACCCACTAGAGAAACAGAGACAGAGAGACAGAAAGTGAGGGATCACCCCCCATTGGGGGTAGCCATGCCACAGTCTCTTCTCCTCCACTCTCCTCTTGGGATTTTGGGCATGTATGCACATGTGCCAGGTGTGAGTTTGAAGCCACAAGGTCTGGGACTGAAACTGTGGTCGGCCACATGCAGGGTCCAGTGTGTCAACCAACATCCACCCGCTGGCCCCTCAGCTTCCTTTTCCATGAGGTGATGCGGAAGTTACACACATCACTTCTGCTCACGCATGTTTGGCCAAAGTCTAGTCATTTGGCCACACGTAGCTGCAAGGGAGGCTGGAACGTGAGCATTCCAGTTGGTGGTTATAGGCCTGTGAGTGTCCAGTATGATTCAGTAGTGAAAGGAGCACAGGAGAGCAGAGACAGGGGACACTTAATAGTCCCACGTGGATTGCCCTTCTCAGACTTGACTTTGCAGTTCTTATGAAAGGTCAGATAAATAAATACTATAGGCTTTTGAGGGCCATATATTGTCTGTATCACATTTTATTCTCTTTTTAAAAATAGCTTTTAGGGAACCAGCAGTTAGCGTAATGGCTATGTCGCTGGACTCCCACGTAGTCGACCGCGGTTCGCGTCCCGGACCCGGTGGCTTAAAACTCACGCCGGGCGCGTGTGTGTACGTGCCCAAGATCCCGAGAGGAGAATGGAGGAGAAGGGATTGCGGCGTGACCATCCCCCCTGGGGGGTGATTTCTCGCTTTCTGTCTCTATGTCTCTCTCTGTCTGTCTGGCGAGCGCACGCGCCCTATAGCGAAAAAAAACTCTCAAAAAAAATAGCTTTTAAAAAATATATGAACCATTCTTGGGATAATGGCTATGTTGGCATAATGGCTATGTCACTGGACTCAATGTAGTCAACCATGGTTCAAGTCCCAGACCCGGTGGCTTAAACTCACACTGGGCATGTGTGCATGCATGCCCAAGATCCCGAGAGGAGAATGGAGGAGAAGGGATTGCGGCGTGGCCATCCCCCCTGGAGGGTGATTTCTCACTTTCTATCTCTCTGTCTCTCTCTGTCTTTCTGGCAAGCATATGCACCCTATAGCAAAGCCTCCCCACCCCCCCAAAAAAATATATATGTACACCATTCTTACCTCAAGGGTCATACAAAAACAGACTGTGTATAGACTTGGACTATAGCTTGTCAACCCTAGGATTAAACAAATCAATACATTCCTTTTTTGGCTTTATTTTAGTTAAACATAATCTTTATTCTTTTTTCTGATCATTCTGGATAAGGGAGGAATTTAAATATACATGTTACATGAGAAAGAACCATCGGGAATTGGGTAGAGATGCCTTCCACTTGGAAGATTTAATGAGATAAATAGAATTTGAGCTGGGCTTTGAATAAGAAATGAAAAATTGTGTGTTCACACTTTAACTAGGTTAGAGAACATCTTAATTAACAGGGAGACACAGATGGAGCAGTGACAGAGAAAGGTACACCCACCCCCTTTTTTTTTTCCTAAAGCTAGTTTGAGTGAATTTGCTGTCAGTGACAGCCAAAGTGAATTTGGAAGAAAAAAGCAAATTTCTTCTGGCCTCCTGCATTTACAGACCTCGCCTGTAACCTCTACGGGGCATTTATTGATTCGGTGACCCTCATGACTATTTACAGAATTCCCCACTTGGAAGGAGTGTGGAAGGAGCTCTTGTTGTCTAGGTCATGGGGCTGTCACCTGGGTTTAATCAATCAAGCCATGCCATGACTTGGAGCCAGTGGTACCCAAAAGCAGTGAAGAATTTGTTTGGAACAACCATGGCAACATCTGCACGTGGTTTCTGGAACTGTGGGGACAGGAATAGGGCGTTTTTGTTTCATGAACCATGTCCTTGGTAGTATGTTAGCGATGGGACTGGCTCTCCTATCACCTTCATCCTACCTGTTTGGTGAGGCTACTTATTCAACCTTCTTGGTGATTCTGTGAGCTGTCCCATATCCTTGTAGAAAATCCCTTTAGTGCTCCATGTAGCAGGATTGTTTTCTGTGGCTGACAACTAAGACCCCTGCTGACACGCACACACATCCTGCAGGCCCAGGAGACTGGAATTGCTCCCTGCACTCTTTTTCTTTTTTTTTTTTTTTTGAGAGGTATTCCCCAACCTCCCCCCGCTATAGGGCGTGTGTGCTCACCAGACAGACAGAGAGAGACATAGAGACAGAAAGTGAGAAATCACCCCCCCAGGGGGGATGGTCACGCCGCAATCCCTTCTCCTCCATTCTCCTCTCGGGATTTTGGGCACGCACGCACACGCACCCGGCATGAGTTTTAAGCCACCGGGTCCGGGACGAGAACCGCGGTCGACTACATGGGAGTCCAGCGACATAGCCATTACGCTAACTGCTGGTTCCCCTCCCTGCGCCCTTTCTGACCCTCCAGTGAGGATCCACATGCTCCTCCTCCTTTCAGTTCTTATAGCTTTCCTGCTGTGCGTTCCAGGTGGAAAGGTGATTCTAGTCTAGGCACTCGGAACAGGGGCCAGATGGGGGAAGGTGACATCAGGCTGCTTCTTCCTTCTCCAGCCTAGTCGGGGCAGGGACTCCAGATCTCAGGATGAAGAACTGAGAACCAGGTGATGGTGAACAAGATCTTTGACTTTCCCAGGCTTGTTTTTCTTGTATCCTCATCCATAAAAGGGGTATAGTAACCATAGTCTTGATGCCTATAGAGGATAATGGAAACGAAATAAGTGGTGCTTTGTCAAAGATGCTGAGTTAATATGGGAGCAGCTCAGAGGTGACTGTTGAATGCACTGCAGTGCAGTAGAAGGACTGTGCTTTAGGGTCAGAGACAGCGGACCTGGTTTCAACATTCGATGCTACCTTTGAAAAGCTGAGGCTTTCTGTAAGCTGCATCTCACTTCTGCTTAACCATAAAATGGGAGTAATCATCCTACGAGGCTTTTATGAAGGATAAAGGATGAAATTCATGCTCAGTACTATTTTTTTAAAGACAACTTACTTATTTATTTAATTCTATTTGCTAATTATTATTTTTTAACTTGACCAGAGAGAGAGAGAAAGGGAAAATGAGAAAGCAAGCCACAAGGTCCAGGATGCGAACCACAGTTGGCCATATGGGAATCCAGCAGCTTTAACCACCACGCCACCAGTTGGCCCCACGCTCAGTACTATTATACTTAGTGGGTGCTTTTGAAAGGCATTGCTGGTCCTCTAGCTGTACCAGTTATCCATGGGTGCATAATAAATTACTCCAAAACGTGGCTGCTTAAAACAATAGTGAGCATGTAGTTGTCTCAGCTTCTGTGGGTCAGGAATTCAGGAACACTGGCTGGGTGGTTCTGCCTTGGGGTCTCCAGATGAGCAAGGTCTGTGTTCGTCTGAAGCCTTCGCTGGGGGTCTGAGTTGGCTCACTCGCAGGGTTGGCTAGTTGGTCTGGCGGTGGGCAGGGGGCCTCAGTTCTGCGTGTGTGTATGCATGTCCAAAATACCAAGAAGAGAATGGAGGAGAAGGGATTGCGATGTGGCCATCCCCCGGGGGGATGATTTCTCGTTTTCTGTCTCTCTGCTGAGCGCATGTGCCCTGTAGCAGAAGCATGAATATCTCCACAGGGGTGACTGTCTTCATGATGAGGCATCTGGCTTTCCCCAGGGTGAGTGATCCAAGAGGGTACAGAGGCCACAATATCTTTTATTACCTAGCCTCACACACTGGTGCTTTCTCTCTCTGTCTCCCTGTCTCTCTTTGGCAAGTGCACACACCCTCTAACAACTAAAACAAACAAACACACTGGGTGCATGTGCACGTGTGCCCCAAATCCTGATATGGTGGAAGGATGGAGGAAAAAGGATTGTGGTGTGACAATGCCTCACCAGAGGTACTTTCTCTCTCTCTGGTGAGTGCATGTGCCCTCTAAGGAAAAATAAAAATAAAAACAGAAACAGAAACAAAGCAAACACAAGTAGGGACCAGCAGGTGGCGTAATGGTTACATCGTTCAACTCCCACATAGTCGATTGCTGAGTCCCGTTCTCAGCCGTTTAGCACTCACGCCGGGCGCATGTATGTGCGTGCCCAAAATAACAAGAAGAGAATGGAGGAGGAGGGATTGCAGCATGGCCATCCTGGGGGTGGGGGGTGATTTCTCATTTTCTGTCTCTCTGGTGAGAGCATGTACCCTATAGCAAAAAGCTCTCTAAACAAAACAGAACTAACACAATTAAAAGTTCCTGTCAGTACTCCGAGATATCAAAGATGGAGCAAACAAGGAAAAGAATAAGATCATATGCAAAATTTATATAGGAATTTTCCAGAAATAGGTCACTTGACTCCCAGGCTTCCCTCCTACTTAAGGTATACAAAGAGTGGGGATATTGCAGATTAGAGGAGAACTGGTAAAACTATTCATTTCAAACATTTCTTGACATATTTTAATATTGGGTTTGAGTATGTTCACGTTAAAGAACATTATGGCTGTCCATGTGTCTGTCTTGTGGTAGGCTTCCTAATCCTGGAACCTGTAAATGGTACCTTAAACAGATCTGATTAAGTTAAGGACCTTAAGATCGAGGGTTATCCAGATCAGCTGGAAGGGCCCTAAATGCAATCACAGGTGGAGGAGATTTGACTACAGGAGGCGAGGTGCTGGCCAGAGCAGAGGCTGGAGTAACGGCACTGCAAGCCTGGAACGCCAGCAGTCTCTAGAAGTTTGAAGAACCGAGAAAGATTCTTCTGTGGAGTCTCCAAGCAGAGCCAGCCATGCTGACACATTGATTTTAGTCTCCTAAGATGTATTTGTGACTTCCAACCTGCAAAGAAATAATATGATGAAAGTCTCGTTTTGTTCTTAGTTTGCTTTGGGACGAACGAACTTGCCAGAGACTAAGGGGTGGGGGGGATGGCCAGGCTGTGGTCCCTTCTCCATTTTCCTCTCAGGACTTTTGGCACTCACGTACATGTGCCTGGCATGATTTTTCTTTTATTTTAAAATTTATTTTATTTAACTTTATTTATTTTAATTTGACCAGAGAGGGACAGAGTGAGAAAGAGAGAGAGGGCAAGTGAGAAAGCAAGCCACCAGGTCTGGGATTTGAACTTGGTCAAATATATGAAAGTCTAGCACCCTTAACCACCATGCTACCTGCTGGCCCCCAGACTGGGATTTGAACACAGTCTACCGGGGGCCAAATCCATCACCTACTTCCCTTTCTTTTTTAGAATTATTTTATTTAACTTTGTGTGTGTATATATACATTTGACTAGAGAGGGGCAGAGTAAGAGAGAGAGGGAAGGAAAATGAGAAAGCAAGCCGCTGGTCTGGGATTCAAACTGCAGTCCACCATTCGCCATGTGGTCCAGTGTCCTTAGCCACCTCGCCACCCTTTTTTTTTTTTTTTTAAAGAGAGATTGTGATATAGGGTGTATGTACTCACCAGAGAAACAGAGATTGGCATAGGGTGTATGTACTCACCAGAGAAACAGAGAGAGACAGAAAGTGAGAAATCACCCCCACCCCAGGGTTGGGGGGTGACCACACTACAATCCCTTTTTCTCGATTCTCTTAGGATTTTGGGCACTCACGCATAAGTGACCGGTGTGACTTTTAAGCCACTGGGCCTGGGACTCAAACTGCGGTTGACTATGTGGGAGTCCAGTCACATAACCATTATGCCATGTGCTGGTCCTTCTACTTCCCTTTAATACATTCTCAAGAGGGAAAGTAGGATACACTTGGGCTTTTAGTGCTTCTGGAGGCTCTGTGAAAAAACCATGTATTCCTGGATGGAGCCCTAGTGCAGGCAAGGTTCTAACTCCATCCCTTGTGACCAGACAGAAGCCCTAGTCACCAGACCAAGTTCTCTGGGTTCTGAACACCGCTCACCCCCGAGTCTCTGATCAGGGGAAGCAGGTGGCACAGCCTTGGGGAGAATGGATAAGCACGGTGAGTGGGTCTGGAGGCAGGACGGGACTGAGGACGGGACTTGCTGACCTGAGCTTGCACTAACCCGCCGTCACCATGGCAGCCCCAGAGTTGAAGTCCAGCCTTTCCTCGCTCACCCATCCACGTAGCTACCAGTGCTCTCTGCTTTCCCTCCTGAGTATTTTGACCTCTGCCCCCTCATCTCCACCTGCTCGTGTTCTGACCTTTGTCTTCCATGACCTGGGCCATCATGATGACTCCCGGGTGGATCTCCCCTCTATCCTCTCAGAGGAATCTCTCTAAAGCATAGCTCTGAGCATGTCCCTGGCTGCCCACGGCTGAGGGACAAAGTCTAAACTCCATGGTTAACTTTGCAAACTCATTTGCTATTCGCCCCCTCCTGAAATCCCCCAGAACCCCTTGCTGGGTAGGTACTAGGCCTAGCTTTACTTCTTTTTTTTTTTTTTGGGAGGGAGAGGTTTTTGCTATAGGGCATGTGCGCTCACCAGAAAGACAGAGAGAGAGAGAGAGAGACAGAAAGCGAGAAATCACCCCCCAGAGGAGATGGCCATGCCGCAATCCCTTTTCCTCCATTCTCATCTTGGGATCTTGGGCACGCACACACACGTGCTTGGTGTGAGTTTAAGCCACCAGTCTGGGACTAGAACCACAGTCGACTACATGGGAGTCCAGTGACATAGTCATTACACTAATTGCTGGTCCCCAGGCCTGACCTTTCTTAATGTATTTTCCTAAATAAAAGTGCAATGGATCCTGGTTCTCCATCTTTAGAAATTCTAAGATGTGACAGAACCTTTGAAATAATTTCTCTTTAAAGGTTTTAAAAGTTCTGAATCAAAATCAGAAGCCCCGCTGGATGCAGTGGTATGTGCTGCCTTTATTTTTTGTTGTTTGTGTGTTTGTTTTGAGAGATTTTTGCTATACGGCGCGTGCGCTCGCCAGACAGACAGAGAGAGACAGAGAGACAGAAAGCAAGAAATCACCTCCCAGGGGGGATGGTCATGCCGCAATCCCTTCTCCTTTCTCCTCTCGGGATCTTGGGCACGCATACACACGCGCCTGGCGTGTTTTAAGCCACCGGGTCTGGGATGCGAACCACGGTTGACTACATGGGAGTCCAGCGACCCAGCCATTACGCTAACTGCTGGTCCTAGTATGTGCTTTTAATTCCAGAGACTCGGGAGGCCAACACAGGAGAGCTGTGATTTTTTTTTTTTTTTTTTTGGAGAGGTTTTCGCTATAGGGTGTGTGCGCTTGCCCGACAGACAGAGAGAGACAGAGAGACAGAAAGCAAGAAATCACCTCCCAGGGGGGATGGTCATGCCGCAATCCCTTCTCCTCCATTCTCCTCTTGGGATCTTGGGCACGCACACACACGTGCCCGGTGTGAGTTTTAAGCCACCGGGTCCGGGACGTGAACCGCGGTCGACTATGTGGGAGTCCAGCGACATAGCCATTACGCTAACTGCTGTTTCCGAGCTGTCATTTTAAGGCCAGTCTGGGCAATACAACAAGACCCTTTAAAAAAAAATCAGAGGCCCCTCTACTACCCACGTCATCATCCCCCCTGAGAGGGCTGTGGAGATTAAGGGGCACCAAGTCTGAAGAGAGTTTAGCACAATGATTACATGCGGTTGGTGCTCTATGCACGTGGGTTAGTTTACAAGTTATTATCGTTCCCTTTGTTCCGTTTTTCTCAACTATTCCAGAGCAAACCCCAGGAGCCATCTCTGCCCTGCCCTCTTGTCTTCTTTTCATTCCAAGTCTAGCTATGTAGGCCCTGCAGACAGCAGGGCCCATGGTGCCAGGTGTATGCTTGCTGAATGGCCAGTGGACAGCAGAGGTGGACAGCAGAGGAGGCCAGCGTAGTTTCCATGTCAGCCCAGGAACTTCCTGCCTGCCCAGGCTTCTGCTTGGAGTGTGGAGTCTGTGCCCTGAACAAAGGCACCAACAAGGGGGACGGTGGCGGCCTGCCCATAGAGGAACCTTTTCTGATCACACAGAGACAATGTATACCCAACTCCCTGCCCACCGGCCACCAGAGATGCTGGGCTTCCTTAACGCCTTTGAAGAAGGAAATTTCATTCAGAAAATAAAATACAAACAGTCACCTATTAAAATGACACTCACTGCAATGAAAGTTTATTGACAGCCCACACAGAGATCAGGGCCTCACCCTCGAGCCAAGGGGAAGGAAGGTGGTGAGGCCCCATCATTTCCTCGAGTTAGCAGTTCTCAATCCTCTCTTGATTGCTTTCCACTCAGGTCCTGGGCTGGGTGCTTTACACAGACAGAAACTCGGGTCGGCCTCGAAACAGCCCTCGGGATAGGCACTACGTCCCCCCACTGTACGATGAGAAAATGGGGCTTGACGGGAGTGAGGTGACTTGCCCCGAATTCTCAGGCAAGAATGCTGGAGCTGGGAAATAAGTCAGCCAGGCACTCTCAGCGGCCCTGTCAGCGTCCTGCTGACCCGGGGCATCTCGCACACGCGTTTGCCTTTTGAAGGGTGGAGGTTAGGCTGTGAACAAAGTCAGGGTACCCAGACCGGTACTGGGACAGCGGGACTGCACTGACGTCCTCCCCATCTGCAGGCGCGAAGACCCCCTTGTGGAAGAAGGAACCGGAGGATCTCCGCGCCAGGGAGGCAGGGCCGGAGGAAGAGAAGGAGGCGTCGGAGGAGGAGGACGAGGGGAGGCCGGAGGAGAGCGGGGCAGAGGGCGAGGAGCCGCCCCAGCAGGCGGAGGAGGGTGAAGGCCGGGATCGGCACTCGGTGTCCTACTGCCCGCTGCGCCAGGAGTCCAGCACCCAGCAGGTGGCGCTGCTGAGGCGCGCGGACAGCGGCTTCTGGGGCTGGTTCAGCCCCTTCGCGCTGCTCGGCGGCCTGGCTGCTCCGGCCGACAGGTGAAGGCGTGATCCTCAGTCAGGCGGGAGGCACCGGGCCCGGGGCCTCAGGGAGGAGGGACTGCAGCGGGCACTGAATGTTTGAACTCCTGCCCGCAGGAAACGGAACCTCCCGGAGGAGCCGTGCGTTCTGGAGAGTCGGCCGCCGCGCCACGGGGGCTGTGCGCGCTGCGAGATCCTTTTTTGCAAGAAATGCAGGAATCTGCACAGCCACCCGGCCTACGTGGCACACTGCATTCTAGATCACCCGGATCTGGGTAAGGCGGGGGCCACCAGAGGCGTTTGAACGCCGGCCACCTGCAGCCTTCTTGCCCTCCATCTTTGCCTGACTCCAAACTCTACGAAACCTTCTCTCCCTGACTCAAAGCCCTTTCTAGCACATTCCACAGAACAGCCCCTTCTGAGAGCCGCCATTCGAGGAGCCCCTTTCAGGCAAGGAGGCCCACTGTTGATGTGGGGTTCCACCTGCCACCTAGCGCCTTCCAACGCATAACCCAGAAAAACCAAGAGTCCCACTCTTCTAATACGCCCCGGGCAGCACCCAGCGGCTGCCGCCCACCTGACTCGTGTCCCCTGGCGCAGCTCGCATGTCTCTCAGGTATTTCAGGTCCTGCTGGCTCAGCGAGCAGGAGGGTTGCCTAGAGAAGTCCCCCATATGCCCCCACCTTCATCCCTCTGAGAAACTTGTCCTTTGCCCCAAATCATTCAATAAAGCCTGCAATTGAAGTGGTAGTGCCTTGACTGGCTCCAGGTGGGAGTGCTGAAACTCGGACCCTCCTTCCTCTCTTCCCAGTCCAAGACAGAGGGAAAAGGGTGGACAGAGAGCCTCTTCCCTGGCTTCCCCAGGACCCGACAGCACAAAGTACTTGCATCCAAGGGCAGTCAAAGGCCAGTCTCTCCACCACACGGAGAAGAAAATGGAGAGGCAGGGCCAGGAATGTCCCCCAGGACCTGAGGGCTGAACCCTTGCCAGACCATTTTGCCCTGGCCTGGAAGCGGGTGCTGGCAGAGGTCAGTGTGTGTGCAGATGAGGCACTGGCCTGGGAGGTGTGGGGAGGACTGGAGAGCCAGGTGCTGAAATCAATGCTGCGACTGGCTGAGACAGAAGACCGGAGGCTGGGGTGGGTTCCTTCTCCAGGAATCCCAGCTATTCTTGGCCAGACAGCAGGAGCGTGGGGAATGCTGCATGTGTGGCCTGGAGAATGGGGCCATTGTGAGCCCAGACCTACCCCAACATGCACGATGTAGCCCCCCAGGGATGCCCCCTGACCTCTCCTGCTGCAGTGGTTCTCCAGCTGCCTGGGGGCAGGAGTGGAGGCAGGCACAATCTGCTTTTTGAAGAGGAGCAGGGCTCCTGTCCTATCACAATCTCACACACACACACACACACACACACACACACACACACAGCTGGCTTAGACAGCAGTTTGGTCCGGGCCTCCCCAGCCTCCATGCCTACCTTCTCTCACTGGAAAGAACGGAAGAACCAGCCCAAGGAAGGCTACCTGCCTCCAGGCCCACCATCTGGGGGTGAGGTGGGTGTGGGTGTGCACCTTTTTATTCCAGTCCCAGGAAGAAAGCTGGGACCAGCAGACCTGCACTGGTCTGTCTCCACCTCCATGTCCTGAGACCTCTCATCCCCAGCCAGGCGTTCTGATGGTGAGGCCTCTGATGAAATAAGACAGATCTGCAAGAACTGAGCCGGGAGGCCCTAAGACTCCGGTATCTCTGTTGAGTTCTGCGTCCTCCCTGGTTGGATGTCACCTCCCAGAAGGAACTGCACCTTTAGAATAAACAAAATCCCCAAGGCCTGGGGAGGAAGGAGGTCCTTGGGGGGCCCTTTTTTGCTTCTCCCTGGATTGATCCCTCCCCCCCTACCACCTCCATGCAGCAGGAACAGCATGAAGGCAATGCCACCTTCAGGCAACAAGGGGCAGGGTGCAGACTCCTGTCCTAGGGGAGGCTTCGCTGCCCAGCCTTCTGCAGGGAGACTTGGAGGCTTCCAAGAAAGATTCTGCCTTTGGACCAGAGGAAAGCTCATTCAGTGCTGAGGTGCCTTCAGAACAGGGTGCCCCCAGAGTTGGCATGCCAGCAGCCCATCCAGGGCAGCTCCGTGGTCCAGCGGCCTGAGGCTGTCGTTCGCAGTTTGGCCTGGTCGAGGCGCCAGTAACGATCGTCTCTGAAGAAGATGATGGAGCCGTCAGGTCTTGGCAGGGCGCCGCTCACCTCCTCAGGGAGGCCGCCCCAGTCCTGCAGACCGCGGGGATAGTAGGGCTCCACCTGCAGTCCCCCTCGACCCAGCATGTAGTAGCGGGCGCCCTTGAAGATGATGAGGCGGCGCAGAGGAGGGAAGAAAAGGGCCGCGTCGGGATGGCGGGGCAGGCCCCTTGCCCGGCACAGCTGTGGGAAACCCCACACTGGCTGGGACCCCCGGAACCTCCAGCATCGACTCCCTGTGGGGCATCAGGAGAGCAGCGTGAGCTGGAGGCTCTCACCCACTGTTCCTCCACCCCACTCTGTCCCCCCAGACTCCTGCTCCTCTCAAGTTGGAGCCCATGGCTGTTGGGATCTGTGACAGCCAAAACGGATTATACTACTCATTACAGCCGCCTCCCTTTATCCTCAATTTCGCCTGCTGCAGCTTCAGTCTCCCCTGGTCAACTGTGGTCCTAAAATAGGTGAGTACAACACAGTAAGATTATTTCAATAGAGTGATATTTGAATATGTATTTAAGAATCACCCACATGACTTTTATTACAGTATATTGTTAAAATTCTTTTCTAGAGGGTGCATGTGCTCACCAGAGACCCAGAGACACAGAGAGAGTGGAAGAAAGCACATCCCCTGGGGATGGTCATGCCATAATCTCTTCTCTTCCAGTTCTCCTTCTGGGATTTTGGACACACATGCATATATGCCTGGTGTGTTTCTCAAGCTACTGGGTCCAGGACTCAAATCACCTGGCTGGCTATGTGAGATCCAGTTGCCTTAACCACCAGGCCAAAGAGCCCAGTATATTGTTACACTTATTTTATTATTAGTTATTGCTGTTAATCTTTTTTTTTTTAAATCAGTGGTTTTAAAAAATAAACTAATTTTTGGGGGGAGGTTTTTGCTATAGGGCACATGTACTTGCCAGAAAGACAGAGAGAGACAGAGACAGAAAGCAAGAAATCACCCCCCGGGGGGGTTGGCCACACTGCAATCCCTTCTCCCTTCTCCTCTTGGGATCTTGGGCATGCACACACACGTGCCCAGTGTGAGTTTAAGCCGCTGAGTCCGGGTCTGGGACTCGAACCAGGGTTGAATACATGGGAGTCCAGCAATATAGCCATTATGCCAACTGCTGATCCCAACTGATTCATTTTTTGAAAGGTTTTTGCCATAGGACACGTGCATTTGCTTGACACAGAGAGAGTGAGAGGGAAAGTAATAAATCACACCCCAGGGAGATAGCCATTCCACAATCCCTTCTCTGCCATTCTTTTCCTGGGATTCTGGGCATGGATGCACACATGCCTGGCATGATTTTCAAGTCACTTGGTCTGGGACTCAAACTGCGATCAGCCACATGGGAGTCCAACGCCTTAATCACTACACCACCTGCTGGCCCCACTGCCAACTCTTTACTGTGCCTAATTTATAAATGAAACTTTATCACAAGTATGTATATGAAAAAAACATAGTATATATAGGGCTTGGTACTATCTATAATTTCAGGGATTCACTAGGGGTCTTGGAACACAGCCTCTGCAGATAATAGGGGACTACGGCAGTTTCGACCCTTAGGGGATGTGGTAGGGGAAGGACTGTGATGATATAGACTTCCAGCAGGTGTCAGCAGAGGGCAGATAGCTGTGAATGAACCTATCAGGCAGGTGGTTGGAAGGGAGGTTGGGACACTTCCCTGGGTGAGGGAAAACCCTGAAAGGCCAGAGCTTTCTGCACTTCCATGACTACTAACGATTCTAGGAGGGCAACGCCTCCAATCATCCTAGTGCATAGAAAGCACTCAGTATTGCATCAATGAATGATTACCATTTACTGAAGTATTACCAATTACCTAGTAATACACTACACACTTTTCAGTCAATATTTTAATACTTCCTTCCCAACAAGCTTGGGGTGGTATAGTACAAGTTCCAAAAGGTAAGCACCACTCCCAACCTCACACAGCCAGTTTCCCTGTCAAACTGCAGGGCTTAAGAGCAGAACTCTGCTCCCCTCTAGACTCTTCTCTGAAACTCTGCCTGGACAACCTTGACACCTGCTATTCCCCACTCTGTCACTGAAAGGAATCTCCTGGTAGAACTTTCCCTAAGTCACAGGTTCAAACCGGAATAGAGACTCCATCATGGATTCACTGAATGAAAACCCTCTTCTCTTTTGACCTTGGGTAGGACACCTCCTCCCCTCTCTGCCTCTATTTTCCCAGCTGTCCCAGGGCTGGTACCTTTGAAAAAGTAGAAGTCTCCATCCTCCCATGACACAGCTGCAGCCTCGATGTTGGGGGGCAGCCCAGCCCACCTTTCCTGGAGTGGGCGAGGCTCTGAGACATTGCCATCAGGTTCCACCTCCCAGTAGTGGCTCCCTTTAAAGACGTACACCTGCTGTTGCCTGTCTGCCCGGAGACAATAGAATAGGGGGATGTCCATCAGCCTCCTGCTGTCTCTTCAGGGAGAGTCCTAGAACTCTTCCCCAACGGACAAGCAGAGGATGTGCCATGCACAGCGGGCACTGTTTTGTTTTGGCGAATGCTGTAGCCTAGGATTTCTGGACTTTGTAATCCATTCCTGCCCCTTGCACTCCAGCTCTGGAGACCCCAGGAGATATGAGAAAGGAGGGAAGAAAGAAGTGAGGCACAGGGGACACTGTCTTACCTATGGTGATAGCATCGAAAGAAGAGTGGCAGTACTTAGGGCCCTGGGTCTCAGTGCGCCTGCCCTGGGAGTTGCGGGGTTCCCAGGCCTCAAAGTCAGTGAACAGCTTTCCTGGTTGCTGGAATGCCACTGAGCCCCTCAGGGGCTTCCCTTTATGGGAAGGAGAAAAGAGTGAGAAAACATATAAAGTGGGGGGGTATGCAGAGGGCTCAGGACCACTTTCGGCTCCTTTTGTGATAACGTAATATGAGGGGCAAGGAAGAGTGGGAGTGGGGGCTAAGAGTTGCCTCTGGGTGTTAGTGTTACTCACAGCACTAACCCAAGTCTTCCCTCCTACCCACCGGCCGGGGAAAGAAGGACTTACTAAGATATAATTGGAGTAGGGGCCCAAGCAATGGCTGGGAAACTAAGGGCAGAGGGTCCTCCTCCCTGGGTCCTGGGTTACACCAGTAACATGAGGGCAGAGTTCCAGGACCCAGGCTGTGAGAATTGCAGCAATTTTAATAATTACATTATTGTCCTTCACTTATGAGAGGAGCGAGGCAGAGTCCAACGAACTTGGAATTTGGCACCTGCTCCTGAATCCTGGTCTGCAACTTCATAGCTGTGTGACCTTGGGCAAGTTCCTAGCCTCTCTGAGCATGATTCTCCTGATCTACAGACAAAAAGATACTTAACTCATGGGCGTGGTGAATACGTTTATGAAACAGCAGCTGTTACTATTACATTCAGGTAGGTTTCTCAGATTAGTAGGCAGAGTCATACCCACCAACACAAGATCCTGTGAGATAAGCAGGGTCTCGGTGATAGGTGATACTCGTTTGTAAAGAAGGTAAAACTGAGGGCTCTCAAAGGGACATGGTTTGCCCAAGAGCAACTGCTAGTGAAGGATAAGTGACTTGAACCCAGATCTCCTGGCTCTGTCCACCGCACCACGCACGGCTTGGGGTACGGAGGAAATACTATCTGGGACGCCAATTCCCAGGGCTGGAGGTCCAGGGGGCAGGAGTGGAACCAGTGGGCCTCACCGCTGTGGGGTGGGGACAGCTCACCATACAGGCTCTGCACCGCCAGCACGTCGTCCCAGCTGAGGAGCGAGTCTCGTCCCAGCTTCTTGTAGTAGGGCGCCATGAGCGCGCGCGGCGCGGGCGAGTGGGTGAGGCCGAGCGTGTGACCGATCTCGTGCGCCAGCACCACGAACAGGTTGCGTCCGCGGCGGCGGCGGCTCAAGGACCAGCGCTCGTCTAGGTCGAAGTGCGCTTCGCCCCGGCGGGGCAGAAAGGCGTGCGCCAGGGCGCCCCCTGCAGGCGGCGCTCAGGATCAGGGAAAGCCGAGGCCGAAGTCGCCGCTCCCCTCCCTCACCGGAATATCCACCATCCAGCCAACCACCGCCCAGCAAAACTGCCATGAGAGTGTGTGTGAGTATTTTCTGATGCATAATTTTCCTCCTTAGTAAAAGTCTGGCAGAAGCTGAAGTGTGGAGTGTGAGTGGAGCGGTGAGCAGATGACTTGGTGTAAATGCACTAGGGAGCCAAACTGCCTACCTAGGTGACAATCCTAGTTTTACCAATTACTAGCTGTGTGACTTTGGGCAGGTAGCTTAATCTCTCTGTGCCTTAGCTCCTGCTATGAAAATGGGAATTATGATAATGAGCTGCTTCTTCACAGGGTTGTTCTGAAGAGTGTGTGTGTGTACACCCACGCTACAACAGCGCTACATAAGAATTATTTTCAAAAAAGATCTTGGAGTACATATAGTTAAAATTACCCTAGAAGTGGGCATGATGGGACCTTCTGTTCTGATTCTTGATCTTGGTGTTGGGTATGTTCAATGTGTAAAAGTTTATCAAACTACAAACTTATGGTATGATGCACTTCATTTAAAAATGTTTTTTAGTTTGCTGTAGGGCACGGTTGCTCACCAGACAGAGGCAGAGATAGAGAAGGAAGGTGAGAAATTACCACCCCCCGCCCCGAGGGGATGGTCATACACCAATCCCTTTTCTTCCATTCCCTCTTGGAGATTAGGGCATGTACACACATATGCCCAGTGTTTTTCTTTTTTTAAGAGGTTTTTGCTATAGGGCGCGTGCGCTTGCCAGACAGAGACAAAGAGACAGAAAGCGAGAAATCACCCCCCAGGGGGGATGGCCATGTTGCAATCCCTTCTCCTCCGTTCTCCTCTCGGGATCTTGGGCACGCATGCACACGCGCCTGGCATGAGTTTTAAGCCACCGGGTCCAGGACGTGAACCGTGGTTGACTACATGAGAGTCCAGCGTCATAGCCATTATGCTAACTGCTGGTCCCTGCCCAGTGTTTTTCAAGCCTCTGGATCTGGGACTTGAACTGTGTAGTCAGCCATGTGGGATCCAGCCGCCTTAACCTCATGCCCTCTGTTGGCCCTATATAGTGCGCTTGTATGTGACTGTATGTTTTCCCTAATAAACAGAATATATATGCTTGCATTCTTGCCTTCTCTGTGCCAGGGCTCCTCTGTGGGCCTCAGTCTCCCTGCTTGTAACACAAGTGAGCAGAAGCAATTAGGCTGAGTTAGCGATTCTCAAGGTTTTGGTGTGCCCAGATGGAGCTTATTAAATATGCAGTTTCTGGGGGGCCTAGAAACTCATCTTTGTAGGTGCAGGCAACCTTGACTAAGTGGTCAGCAAACCACATGGTGACAATGTGGGCCTAGAAGCTTACTGAGAGTCCTTCCAGTTTGGGCTTCTTGCAGCCTATGCTGACTAGAATAGACTAGTTCAGGCTGGTGGTTAAGGTGCTGGACTCCTAGGTGATCAACTGTGAGTTTCAGGTATGGTGGCTTGAAATTCACGCCAGGCATGTGTGTTGGCATGCCCCAAATCCAAGGAGAACAGAGGAGAAGTGATTGTGGCATGGCTAACCCCCTTGGGAGGGGGGGGTGATTTTTATCACTTTTCCTCTCTCTCTCTGGAGAGTGCATGAGTTTTGGCAAAAACCTGAAAACCAAACAAAAACAGTAAGAGGAGAGCCTCATTAGGGCAGGGAGTCGGCCACGTGTAGGAGGAATACCTATATTCTAATGTACTACTGACCTCTATTCAGTCTGTTGGGCTAGGCCTAAACCACCACCTGAAGGAATCCAATCAGGTTTCCTTTCCCCATTAAGAGAGAGATGTGCGAACAGCCCATGTTCAGGCTCTGAAGGCAGACAGGAGGACCGCAGTTTAACTTGAGCCGGAAGCCTTCGGGTTGGGGACAAATCGAACTATCTGTATGTGAAATGGCTGTCAAAGGGTAGAATGCCTGGACCAGCAGATGGTGCAATGGTTATGTCACTGGACTCCCACATGGCCAACCACAGTTTGAGCCCTGGGCCCAGCAGCTTGAAACTCACACCAGGCACATGTGTGTGCATGTGTGCACCAAATCCCAAGACAGTGGAAGAGAAGGGATTATGTCGTGGCTATCCCCCCTGGGGACTGATTTCTTACTTCCTGTCTCTCCAGTGAACACACATGCCCTATAGGAAAAATCTAAAAAAAAAAAAAAAGGTAGAATGCCTCTTGCCCATGGCAGTGATTGTGTGGGTGTGTGGGTGTGGCATGGTGTGCAGGGAGCTGGAGTGGGGCCATGGTAGCCTCTGGTCTGGAGAATATGTGCTCTTGGAAAACGAGAGAAGCACAAGCCTGTGTGGAGGTAGGGGATGGATGATGAGAACTCAGAAGATGCCCCCAGGAGAAATAGCACTCTTTCAGTTTGGAAAGCACTAAGCAGAAGCCCACCTAGCCACCCCTTCAGACGTGTGGCACGTAGTAGGCAGGGAACACTGTTCCCACTTTACAGGTAAAGAGGCTGAGGGAGAGTGAATGCCAAGAGAGGCTGAACGCAGCACCTGGGCCATCAAAGGCGTTGCCCAGCCCATCATTGTGGTCCCCTTGGAAGAAGGTGAGGCGGATGTCAGCAGGACCCGTGGCTGGGGCCTCCCAGAACTCCAACGCTGAGACGTTGCTCCACAGCTGGAAGGCGGCTCGCACAGCCCCCCGAACTGCCGGCTCGGGCAGGCGCTCAGGCCAGTTCACCAGGCGGTAGGAGAGGTGCTGCTTGTACCACTTGTTGCCTGTCACCCAGAAAGACTGTGTCAGTCCCACCTGCTGCAGAGCCCGAGTCTGGTCCCTGTGGACCCAGTGCAATGGGGAGGTAGGCCTTCCTCCAAGAACCCTGCTCTGATGGGGGAAGACTCAACCCTAGCCTGGGAGCTGCTGTCACTGCTGAGGGGAACCCTCAGGCTAAGAGGACTGCTCTTGGCATAGAGAGTCCACTGGAGGCGATGAAGCTTTTTTTGGGGGGGACACCCTGGCCTGAAGGAATCTTTCTGAAGCCGTGGCTTGGGGGTCTTACTCTCCCCTGCAGCCTGGGCCAAGCCTGAAAAACTTCCACCTCTTGTTGCCATCAGATCTTGGTCCTTGCCTGCAGCATCTGGGACAAGGAGAGGTGGAGTCCTTCAGGCCACAGCTGTGACTGCCCCCGCCCCTGCCCTCTGTTACCTCCTGGAGGCTGCCCTCTGCCCTCTCCAGGGCCTCGGGCCTGTGGCAGGCCAGCAGCCACAAACCCCACTCATTTCAGGTCCTTCCCTGCCCCTTGTTCCCTTGCTTCCTCAGGGACTCCAGAGAGCTCCAAGGCAAAAACAAAGTAAGAACAAAGGGTGTGTTTTGTCACTGACCAAGAGAAACTTTTCCATCTCTGCTTAGTTAAGAGTTTCTCTCCCTTTGCCCCAAACTGCAGTTCCTCCCTGAGGGCTGAGATTCTGGCCTCTTGCCCCAGCCCAGGTCAGCTGAGTCTGAGTCCCTCCGCAGCTCCCCGTGCATCCAATGGTTTCCAAGCCCTGCAAATTCAGGGCTCAGACTGTGACCTCAGGTGGAAGAGTCGCACCTCAGAGGCAGGGCTCCTGGACCCAGGAAGAGGTAATGAGACCGGAGAAGGGTCTGTCCAGGGCATGGAGTGAGTGAGTGGCTGAGCTGGACCTTGGCCCTAATCCAGAGCTCATTCCCTTTTACCTCATAGATAAGCAGGCACATTTGCTCAGACCTCGAGCTTATAAATCTGCCTGAGCATCAGTCCTGAGGGTCAAAGCAGGGGCTCTGTGTGAGCTGAAACTCTCCAGATGGAAGGGAGGGTCTTAGAGAGCAGAGGACTGGACTCCCTTCCCCTCCCCACCCATGGCAGCGGGGGAGGGGGTGTCCCTCCTCCCACCCCTGAGCCAAGCTCCATTCAAGGCAATGCTGTCTCCCTGGGCCTGTTTGGCCTGGCAGCCGCCCAGCTCTGCCTCCTAGCCAGGGACCAGCCCTCAGGGAGGGAAGAGGGAAAGATCTAAGGAAAAGAAGCAGACAAAGGAGGCAGAGGGAAGGCTTGGGGTCCAGAGTCACCATTGAGGGTTCATTATGTTCAATG